CTATCTATCTAACTAACTATCTATCCCACTATCTATCTATCTAACTATCTATCTATCTATCTAACTAACTATCTATCCCATTATCTATCTATCTAACTATCTAATAAAAAGTCGAGAAAATGTTGAGAACAAAATCACAGTGATAATATCACTGAATTTTTTTTTGAACTCAATTAATTGTGTTCGTCAACATGGTACGGACGAAAATGAACTGCAGCTATAGAATAAATTATTAATCTACTCGCTACAGCCGCCGGAAAGAAAATGAATGATCGATGTTGTCGATTGATTTATATATTTCACTAAACAATGGCCGCTAGGCAGTTATTGTTTATTTGATTTTCTGTAAAAATGTCTACGATTTTTTAAATCTTGTAAAATCAGTTGTTGATTTTCCAATTTTTAGAAAATGAATTTTTTCGAAAATCAAATTGAATTTCTACAAATTCGAACATGCTTGATTTTCGAATTTGTAGAAATTCAATGAGTAAGTCATAAAACTTTAAAAATCCTTTAGCTTTTTTAAGCTCGATTTTCCAATAAGTAGAATTTAAAAAAAATTTACAGTGTATGGCAATTAGTCCATCATCGACATCTTCATATTCTCCTCCTTCATCAACGTTCACTGCTTCACTTTCACCTTTGGCAAAACGACAACGGGATTTCAGTGAAGTTTCATCCCGTCAAAAACGACGACGTTTATGTGATTTAAATTCTGAATTAGATGAATTTGCGTTAGCAAACAATTTAACAATTAATCAAGTTATAGGATATCTTCTATACCAACGAAATTACAACAGTAACAAATATTTAGCTAATTTAGGACATCAACTTTATGAAGGTAAATGTATTCAAAATCCAAGGTTACCAAATCTTGATTTGGATGAAGCATTAGCATTGAAATGTCATTTAAATTTAAGTCGTTCAGATATGGATTTTTTAAAATGGTTTTCAAATGATTATATCAATGTTCCAAATCAACACTATATTAAAAATCATACTGATGATTTAATACCATTACTCACAAGTTGTCGCAACAATAAAGGTATTTATGTGAAAGATCGCCGACAATCAATACAATTGACAATTCAACGCTTGATTGATGTTCTTCATTCAAAACATATTAATGTACCAAATCATCTATCATATCGTGAAAAGACAGGTCATGATGGCGCTGGTTCAATGTCGATATATCGATCAACTGAAAATCCCATGAGTGATCCAAATATTTTCTGTAAAATGTTTGTAGCATTAGCATTGAAAGATGAAAAATCAGACGAAATTTTATGGCAAAATGAATCGCCAAATAGCGCCTTTTATACTCGACCATTATTATTAGTTGCTAAAAAAGAAAATTATGAATTGCTTCGATTCGTAAATGAAATGTATGAAAATCAAGAGAAAAGTTTAGAACAAAATGGTTTAACATTTCAATACAAAAACGAAACATACAACGTCAAAATTAAAATAGAAGCCAGCATGAAGGATATGAAAATTCGGATGGCTGAATCAGGTTTAGGAGGTGCACAATGTTTGATGTGTAGTACAAAACAAGAAGATTGGAAGGATCCGAAGAAAATTTCAGATCCTAATTTTGTCTATATCAATCGAACGGCAGAAAAAACTCTTGCATTGTACAACCAGTTAATTGATAATGAAGGTAATATTTTAAAACGTAAAAATGTTTACGACACTCGCATTGGTTTAACATCAAAACCTTTGTCAATCAATGATCAGCATTTTATTACTATCACTCATCAATAAATTAATGGTACAAGTTGGATTTTAAAGATCATGTCTCATATGCGTGCCAACATATCATCATGGGTAATTCATGCTAAAGATAAACAAGACCGAATTTCAAAAGAAAGAAAAACAATATTAGAAATAGTTCAAGATAAAACTGGTTTACGACTTGATCAATGTGATTCTACTTTGTCTACAACTGGTGGTACAAGCACAACTGGTGGACAAGGTCGAAAATTCTTCTCTTACGAAGTGCGAGATATTTTGGTATCATGTGTTCCCTTACGACACCGTACAACATTGCAGAAACTGATCCAGCTTTATTCTATTATTCTAAGGGCTGTTTCTTCAACTCAATCTATCAACATTCTTAACTTCAATCAATTAATTTTGGATTTTAAAAAGCTATTATCAAATTAAAAATGGATTGATTATACCATGACTGTACATTCATTAATATTTCATTCATGCGAATTAATACAAAGAAATCATGGTGTAGCTTTGGGAGAATCATCAGAAGAAGCTCTTGAGAGCTGTAACAAAGATATTCGTAACTTTCGTGAATTTTTATCTAGGAAATATGGACATATTATGAATCTAACAGATGTCTTCAATCGGCTCTTCATTCGTTCTGATCCATTCATAAGAAACATAATTATTGATACATTCGGTAAACGACAAATACATTCACAAACATTGACGACTACATCTCAATCATTAAATGAAGATGATCGAATACTATTAACTCTATTTCTCCAAAAATGAATCGACATATGTAATATCAAGGACATCAATTTGTATATAGTTTTGAAAGCCTCTTTTCCTTTTCCGGTTTTAGTATAACTAACTTCTTTTGTACAGGTGAACTTATCTTATGCACAATAGCAGAATTTTGAAAATAAATTTAAATAAATGCGGAAACTTCGGATTTAAATCCGAGAGTTATGTGTACTTCAAAAAGTGAACCATACAAATCAGTCATCCTAGAATGTCTGAACATCAAAACTATACTGCGGAGCCTACCATTTAAAACGTTGATTTCTATTGCGCGTTCCCAAATCAATAGGAGATGGGACCGAATACAGCCCGAGTTTGAACTCTTTCCCTTGATTTACCCTAAGAAAGTCGTTTTTCTTATAACTTGATTTCTATTGGTCACTGCACAACCAATAGTATTTCGATCGAAGTGCAGTACACATTCGAGTTCTCCATATCTGAAAACCTAGAAGTATCATCACTGTGATAGAAAGACAGAGCTCTATTTGTGAAACAATTCGATTGTGGACCAAAATATAACTTAGTTTTCTTTAATTATCCTTGTGATAGGTGAGTCTACCTACTTGTTTCTTTATGTTTTATATATCATTTTGTAGCTCTTGAAATTCTCTATCGAATGGTATATACTAGTTGGGGTTTTAATTGACTATGATAGGAAAAGTCTTTCACGGAAGTCGCGATGGGTCCATTTTTCCATAGGAAGCTATAGGGAAAAATGAGTATTTTTGCAATAACTCAGGAACGGCTCGGCCGGTCCTTCTCATCTTCTTCTCTCGACCGAAATATTGTCAAGACTAAGTTGTGTAGAAAGTTTCATCGCAATCTGACTCTGCTGTCAAAAGTTATCATGAAAACAGCCAACCAGACGGACGGACACACCGACTATTCTATAGGGTACTCACTGTTTGAGTACACAAAAGTATGATTCGGTTCAAAACTAATATCAGATTCAGAATCAGCGTTAAAAACTGAGTCGATTTATGTATTTTGTGAATAATTATGAGCAAAAA